TTTTCATCAATAGATACCATCAATAAAACAATTTACTTTATATTAAGAGAATAATAACTATTAATAAAATGTAAAGAAAAAAAACAAAGCTTTTGCAATCTTGTTTCTATACTGTTAAATTTTACAAGACTTATCTGCATTATTAAAAAATGGGAGAAAAATGGAAATAATAAATGCTAGTGGTTGAATAATTTTTGATATTTTTGGTAAGCTAATTGTAAGACAAATTACGAGATTGCAAAAACGTCCTTCAAAATTAAAAACAACTGTTCCAATTTAACGCAAATATATGAAGATTCTACATGCATACATGCATATTCTATTTTTTGTTATAAAATTAGCCGATATACTTATGGAATGCAAAATGCGGATAGGAAAGCTTTAACGCGCTCGAAAATTTTTCTGGGCGCGGTTCTCGGGCGCAGTTCAAGAGCAGGACGAGATGCATCGTGCAAAAGGCGCGTGGCTAGTGATAGGAAGGAACTGCGTATGTGCGTGTGGGAAGCTTAGCGCCGACGTAAGGCTATAGTCGAGAGAAGAGAGAAGCTTGAATTGACGCTGATTGGGCGTGCGACAAACATCCGGTCGCATTTCACGTCCCACGAGTCCCACGACAGGGAATGCGCCTCTCTTTCTTCAGTCTACACCGCACGCGAGATAGATCGAGCGATTGCTTCTCGTTTTACAGGGAGAGAGCGAGAGAGAGAGAGAGAGAAAGATAAAGTTGCATCTCGTATCTCGCGCGAATGCGCTTCCGCCTTTTACGCGGCACGTGTGTTAATACACGCTCGCGTTTAACAGAGGACGCTGGACGGTTTCTCGCGACAGTATCGTTGCGAATTTTCTCCGCCCACTGTTGACGCGCGTACATTGAGAACATCGTGATGACAGTGTAATCACGATTTCTTAGATTAATGGCGAAAGAATTATTCAACGGAGATGAATGTACTTTTTGTCAGCGGTGCAACCGATGGAAGTGAGATATTATTTCGTGGCTCTCTCGCGGGGAAGACTTGCGACGTTGAAAAAGAAAAAAAAAAAGAAATGAGCCGCGCGACACCGTTAACGATAAATTTCCTGCCGCTACCTTTGTGTCTCGGTATCCTACTTTAAATAGCGTTTACGCGTCACTGTCCAAAATGTAAAACAACGATTTATCGCGCGATAGCGCGCGCCCGCGCACAAAAACGGCGATGCATAGCTGCAGACGCCGCGACAGCTGACACTATCGCGACGCGACGAGGCAGAATCCTACGAGGGATCTAAAATTGCCATGTTGCGCGCTCGTGGATTCCGCTAATTTGTTACTGCCATCGCGATAATGCATTTTACTACAAGAGCGACGTCGTGGCCTGAGAGAAGGCGTTAAAAATATTTATTATATAATAGTTTGTAATACATTTTTGTATAAAATACTAATAAAGAAATATATAATTGTAATTTATCACTGTAATAATATCTTTGTAATTTTATGTAAATAATAACTAATTCTTTTGTATAATATATGGATATATATCACACATCTGAAAAATTTTTTCGATAAACATTTTCATTTGGTATGAAAAGATGTTAATTATAATTTTTCTAAATTTTACCTGAAATATTCAAAAAATGGCAGAAAATTTTAGATGACAAAACAATTAATTTACACGCTTCAACGTGGACGGATGAGGTACAGCCGGACTTGATTAGATGATCAATCCGAGTAGATTCGGACATCGATAAATCGCACCTAGTCCGTCTTGTCTTATCTAAATTGGCAGTGCAATTATAAATACCGAAATGCAATGTCTCGCAATACAGTTTCCGCAAGATATCATCGCATGTTTGCCAATAGGATGGTGCAGCCTGGATTATACAGATGGTTATAAAGGGCTATGTCAGCATAGATGTGATATTACATGTCAATGTCCCGTACTGGTCTGTATTAAACTCTGTGATTGACGATAGGAGTATCGGATACTCGCGCATTGTGATCGGCTACAGAACTCCACGGTGTCGCGGCTTATCTATTAAGATTGATCCTCGTAAGATCACGGCATTATCGCAACTAACCCGATGGCGCGTGCACGAAGATTTATGCCCCGGTCTCTTAGTCTCTAGGTATAGTGTCGTAGTAACGAGTCATATATCATACATCTCGACTCCCCGGTCTCCAATATGATGCACGTTGCAGGATTATAACGAATATTTTGGTAACAGATACGCCCGTTAGTATTGCAGCGAAGTAAATTACGATCTGTCGTCGAGGGAGAGTTTTCGCGGTCGCGTAAACATGCGGTTTACATTCTTGAAGCCGTTTGCAACTCGGCAATACCGTCGCGCCGCTAGAAAAATATATCCCGAACTTTTTCGCCTGACATAAGCGATATTTCGAGGAGGGGATCGATTTTCAGAACAATCTTGTCGACTACGTGTCGAAGAAAACTTGTTAAGCTCTCACTCAACGAGACCGGTCGCGTATATAGCGCGCGCGGGCGCGCACGAGGGAAATTATACTTTAATTACTTCGATTCCCGTGCGAGAAAAATGCGAAACTTCGCGTGTACGTAATGGCTAAAACATCGGCCACGATGTAATTTCCGCACCTTTGGAAATATCAGCGCGGTCTGTGACGCTCACGCGACACACGTTTCGTTTCAGGTATATCTCGGAAGCGCGCACCGCCTGCTGTGCGATCATTATTATCGTATATTTTTCAACAAATACTTGTTGTACTTGCATGTCGTCTCGCTATTGTGACAGACTGAATAGAATCGTAGAACCGGAGCGAGCGTCTCAGATCGTCGGGGTTGTTCGTCTCTTCTCTAATTAACTGTGAATTTACTTCTCTGCCTGACGGGCGTCGTATAGTCAGGCAATCCTAGAGAACTGTGGGATATCGAAGAAAACTGGAATTGGGCCAGTTATATTACGGAAACATATATATAACCTTTATATATATATATAGATGTAAGTTCGTGTGCACATAGATATATACTTGCGCTCGTACATTTAAATGGGATCGTCTCTAAGACCGAAGGTACCTGCCAATTCACTGAGTCCACAAACTATTTCGTCTTTGCGCGGGTTGTTCGAGCTTCCTACACACGAATTCTCAGATAGTTTACAACGGTAGACGAGATCTACGCCCGCTAAAATTCACGACTATCTTCGTTTGCGCACTGCTCGTTTGCCAAGTGAATGATCAAAGAGTACGCTGTTCGATTTTAAAAAGCATTCAAAAATTTCTAACATCGTTTTCCGATAAAATTAGGGAGTTAAAAGAAATTTTATTGCTGCAGAAAAAAAAACGGTAAAGATGTAATTTCATTAATAATGATTAATTCAATATTTCAGACTCTGTTATGCTGTTATAACGCAGCATGTAATTAGAGATATGAAACATCCTGCAGCATAGTCAATGATAATTTCATGCATCTATTCTTTGATTATCAAAAGTAATTAGTATAATTTTCCTGTACGCGATTTTCTTGATAACAACCGCACGTATATTTACGTATAATGGATGGTGTGCCAGCTGCGTGACAAAAATATTTTATTACTACGGAGCATGGAAATATGTTACCGCGAAGTTAGATTAATGCCCTTTGATACTACCGATATTTCTGCATCAATAAAAATTGCTTTCCGTGGAATTCCTGCTGGTGTTATACATTCATTATCTGCGAAATTGGGGGGGGGGGGGGTACTATACACGCGCCTTTTTTCTACCTATTATCTGTCGCGTTGATGCTTCTCGTGACTCCGGACTTCGATAAAAACGGCTCGCATTTATCTCGACTATTATTGAAATCATAAGACCGTTGTTACATTATATATCGGTATCTGGTGTATCGTTATTATTATTTCCTTAATTATTCCGACGGTATTATCTCACGAGATCGTTGTTTCACTTCTTTAATTAGATGGTCAGTAACAATTCATTACTTCAAATAAAAGATTTCAGTTGCTGATATCAATGAAGATGTTATTGATTTCGCGATTATAACGTGTCTCTCTACGATAAATTATTTCCTGCGGATAATTGCCAATCGCGTTCGTTTATCCTGATACCACTTTTCCGCGTCGTTGCCGTGTTAAAAAAAAAGACGTCAATGGAAATAGTCTACGACGCGCGAGATTCCTGCCGGAAGATCCCCCTACCAGCGGACGTTGCACGCGACCACGCAATTTCAGAGTTACGAACTGGCTGGCGCGCGACGGTCAGCCAACTCGCGGCTCTAATTGGTCTGCTTTGCCTTCGCTTGATTGCATACAAAGTAATTAAAAGTGTCGCCATTTTACTTCACCTATCGTCAAACGACTCGTCTCTCGCCATTCAATACTAATCGCCCCTTGTAAACTCGCTTCCGCGGCGTCTTTAACGGCGTATTCTCCGTTGCATTTGCATGCTATTATTGCAGCACTATTACGAAACTATAATCGTGTATTTTAAAGTTTACGTAATCCCACTACATAGCAATGTGCAAAGTTTACGCTCTTCATTTTACATTCCTACAATCATTCTTGACCGAGACGATGAGAGTCAACGATCTGAAGAAGTTGTACAAGTGTTTTTCGATGAACACGTTGGGTTATTGTGCAAAAAGAGTTTGTGAAAGTTTCGCCAGCAGCAGATGCCGCGCGTAAAAATCTTGTGCTAATTAGGCATTATTCTGTTTACGCGAATAATGTAAATGTTCTCAAGTAGACAGCGGTTTTTCGGACTCAGAATTGAAGGGCTTATTTCCAAATCATTCAACCCATTCAGACCGTTTAAACCATTTCTTTTTAATTTATATCTTTAAAAAATATGAATTATATGTTACGAAAAGCTGCAAAATACTTCATATAAGTATAAATACTAATTTATACTCTCAGAATATAGACTTAAGATTTAGAAGATGAGTTCGAAATAAGATCTCTGATTATTTGCGGAACGCAAAGTGGGTTAACGTCAATCAATAATCACGCTGCCGTTCTAAAGACAAAATTGCTCATGCATTGTATGGATTTACCTGGATAGCGGTCCACTGCTGATAATGTAGTGAGTGTAGTACAATATACTGATGATGGAGACGAGCAGGAGCGCCAGGACGCAACGCTTCACCGTCGCCTGCTTGACGACGTAGCGCGGACCGACGGCGCCTAATAGAGGAACGCCAGCTTCGCTTGCGGATATCCTCATCACCATCGTCTCATTCGACGACGTCTCTGCGGATGCGACAACGCCTCAACGTGGATTATCGCAAAGTCTCCGTCCTTGAGCGAGTCGCGGGACGTGTCTGCCCGCGGCGTGCAAACGGTGCTGCTACGTTAGTCAACGGATCTGCCGGCGAGAGGTCAGGTAGCAGCTCCAAGAATTGCCGATGATCCCCAGCGAGCGTTTCTTGCGTCTGCACAGCACGGAGCACCTTCGTCGCCATGGACTCGCGTTTGCAGTCTTTCTTCGGGCATTACCGTGCAACATCGAATCGTTTCAACGAACATTAATTTATTAATATTATTTTATATATTAATTTATAACACTAGTCTTTCTCTCGTTCCGGGCAAATTGGCGTATAAATTAAGATTTCCTTTAACTTCTATATAGCTTTCTGACGTGAAAGTGATATCGGTAGATCCAAGTACTCGAATTTGAGGAAAGCCAGCGGTTGGAACCAAGTTAAAATCCCAGCTTGGGGCTACTCGTCGTTTCAATCCCACGATCGATGAGATATCCTTTGACGAGGTTAACAGCATCAGACCGGGACTCTCGATGCGTTGGTCGAACGTTTTCCCCCACAGCGGAGGTGTATCTATTTAAACCGGCAAAGGGAATCCCCTGACAAAGAAATTTCGAGACAATCGTACTTGAGACGGGCGAAACGGATTCAAAGTTCATCAAACGCGCTTAATCCCACTAGCGTCGCGTACGTTTCTAGGAAACAACGACGGCGCGGCGGTCCTCCTGGAGACTCTCGATCCAACCGGTCGCGAACCTGATCAGGCCCCGGATCAAATCCCCTCGTCCGTCTGTCGAGTAACATCGATGATGTCTCAGCATTGAGGATCTGGACACCACTTGTTGCACTTTTGCGGTATGATCGCCATTTCGCAAGCGGCACGAGACCGCGCTGTCGATCGCGAGTCGCGATTCTTTAACCCATCTGGCCAGGTTACCATGGGTCCAACAACCGTTATTGAGATCTCAATGTCGAGACGCGCGACACCTCGTCATCTCTAGGTTCTGCGAACGCGTATTAAGGAAATCGCGACGCGTTCTCTCACGGGATGATCGTCGCGAAACGCACGCCGTTTCATTGTCGACATTTCGGAATCATCTTGTCTCCGGGCAATTTCGTTGTAAACGAGGCGCGACCCCGCCGTTCGGCTTTCGTGTCTCGGAACAATTCGCCACGCGAGAGATGGACCGGGGACAAGCTTCACATTCGTGTCCTCGCGAATTCTTGCGGATCTTCCCGTTCGTTCACTCGCTCGGTCGCTCGCTCGCTCGCTCGTTCGCCGGATAGCTGCCGCCCGTTTCCGGTGTCGTTGCACGGCGAGCGGGTTCACGGCTGAACCATTTGTTACGGCGCACGACCGCCCCTAGACACCATCTTGGACCCCACGACGTGCAAGCAAACCGACTCACTCGTAAATTTCGAACGCTGCTTCGTGTCTTCCGCCCGACCCTCTTCTCATTCCCGCTTCTAGTTACCCCCGCCGCCCGGCTCCTTTCCTCTATCTGTCAATTAGGAACGATGTACAGGCGCAGTGTTTCTTACGCGAAACAATTTTCGGAGTTTATTTCTTTGCGTCGGCGACCCTTTTCGTGCAACGTTGGAAAATCCCATGATATCGCTCTGTAACAATCATAGAAAGAAAAAATTAGAAAGAATGGATATGAATATAACGTAATGGGTGCTATACATATATTCACAGGTTCATTAACCATGCATTAATTTATGTTTAAAGCAGTAAATAACGGTTTAATAGATTGGAATTAAGATATCATTTTTTAAATCTTTTTATCTGCAATTATTTCAAAATTATGCAAATAGACGTCAATCCTACGAGTTAATAATTTCAGAAGAGATGATCGCGCGAGTCATCTCGGAACAATTAAACGACAGCACCTAGATGATTACGGCGCCTAACAACTTCAATTAAATCGACCATAGTACAGCCATAGTATAGCAGTGCAGCTTTCTCTCGTGCCACTAGCCTCCTCCCGACTAAATTTTTTTTTCATCGGTATACATCCGCCTTCAGCAAGAAGTCCATTAATCAGTCCTCCCCCCCGGTCTCCCACCTTAAACGAGCGGCCCCGCGGCGATATAAACTTTCGTTTTATCTGTTGTATTCGCGCGAGCCCATTCGTCGCCGGACTCTCTGGATACGGGGGTAGGAGTAACGAAAAATGCGATAAAAGGCGCCAGGGATAAATTGAAAATGAGACTGCAGAGCGGTAAGAAATGCGGGAAAACGTGGAAATGGATAGAATCGATGTCAAGGAGACCCTCCGGAAGAATATCACCCTCCGCGCAACCCGGCGCGTCCCATCTCCCCGCGTCTCCCGGGAGCTGACCTGACATTTTTCCCAGGGAAAATATTGATACCATCCACAGAACGCGCCAAGCTGATTTCGAGGAATCAAGCGAAGAAGAAGAGAGAGAGAGAGAGGGGAGGGGGAGGGAATAGATGCGGCAGCTTCAAAAAAGACTTGTTCGCCGAAGGGCGGGGATCCGTACGGCGACATTGGCGCACGGAATTTAATTACACGGCCGGAATGACTGACACGCTAATGGGTGGACGGGGTAGCCCGTCGAACTTTGGCAATACCTTCCCCGCTTTTCTATTTCCCCGTCCCCTCGATCGAGATCCTCCGTTCTTTGACTCGCTGACGTGTAATGATGGGATAGTTCGTTCGGAATGAAACTTGGCGCTCGGCAAAACGAATGCTTGACGCGAGCGCAACGCGTGAAGATAGAACTGTTACGTGTTTACGTGCTAGAGAGGAAAATAAAATAGACAATAGTTTCTTCAGTGTTATCTATTGGGCTAATAATTTTTAATGCACAAGGCATTCATATAACGTGACAAAAGTGATTAATATAAATGTAATGAATAAACATTTGCAAATATTTGTGAAAAATATTTTTTTCTGATCTCATCTTTTGCTATTTGATTATATGACCATAAATTTAGATGTTATAAAGGTATCTAACATTAGACGCTATAAAGATGCTATAAAAAAAACCAGGATATAATATCTTTCTAAATCTCCCACACATGATATCACAAAATGTATTCAGCTATTTATTCTATGTTCTTTAGACAACCTCAAAGTTATTTATCTTGCTAAACAAAGACAGTAAATAAAGTTTATAGCTGTAGTTACTTCGTTTCTATGTAGATATATGACAACATCCATACTGAATTCTTCCAAGCACGTTCAATCCCGTGTAATATATTTTCGTCTTACGCACCGAGGCAACTTTCCTCGCAAATTCCGCGCTGCGCGCGGAGTCGATTCGTTTATCGCACAGAAATAATTCCTACGGGGTTCTCCTTCTCGATTTACCCAGTGTCGGGTGCTTAATTCGTGAGACACGTTTTGGCTCCCCGAGAGGGTCGTTAGTCGGATGCATCACGTGCGCAGATTTAGAGGGAGAAGCCACGTAGGTGCACCGGGGCCGAGATTGCACAAGGAAACTACTCGATTGGCACGAAATGATTACCGCAGGTTCTTCCTGATTATTCGTTCGAACAAAACCATCTTTCTTCCTCGCCCCTGCCGAAGAATCTTGGCGAAGCTTCCTTCTCTTCGTTCGCCCGGGCGGATCCAATTTCATTCAAGCTACCTAGAATATTCCGCCATGCACATGCATGCGCACACATACCGACTCATCCACGACGAACGTATTTATAAGTACCCGAATGCAACTTGATGAGGTTTTAATTTACAAAATGTGTTCCGTGTAATCAATTCCATTCCTTCCTTCAATTCTATCTTTTTTGGAGTGAAAAGTTTCGACGAGATTGCTATCAATAGTTAATGAGGGACGGCTCCCATGTGGCAAAAGAAGGTTTTTAAACATCGATGTGAAATGAGAAATCGATCTGGTACACCTCGGTGTATACACAAACTTGAAATTATCCTACATAAATATAATAAATATCGAGTATAGAAAACAGGTAAACTAGATAAAAAACGATAAAAATGGCCAATCTTGTTTATGAATGTTTTATCATATGTTGGATGGGGGAAAAAACAGCATTGATCGAAAAGTGTCACTTCCCAAAGTTTCTTGCGGCATGATTGGTGCGCTTCTTTTTAGTTCGTCGTGAAACAAAGCACTGCGAAAACGGGAATCTCCCAAGAGAGTGTTTCGTAAGTATAGAAATCTCCCAAGTGAGACATATTTCTCGAAGATAAGGCACGCGCGAAATTTATCACTTTCTTCGCTAAAAAAATAAAAGAAAAATATAATTCCCTTTCCGATATAACTTTTTAGATGTAAGTTTTTACATTAAAATATACAATACCAACCAGAATTAAGACATATAACAGTGAATTTCATGAAAATTAATAATCTACTTCACGTTAAACGTTGAAACCGAGTAATAAAGGATCGATTTTTTCTTCCTCAGAAAGTTATAGATCCTTATTTTTCGATCCTATCATCTCGATATATGATATTATCAATAAAACGATTCCAAGTTTATGAGGTGTTTTATGATCCATGAAAAACCCTATATAGCATCACGTGTTAATGCACGCGGGCCAACTGCCATTGTTCGGTTCCTGCAAGAATTTCAAGGTAAAAAGCGGCATCCAATGGCCATGCGTAGATATATTAATCATGGATATGTTGCCGCTCCATTGAGTTTCAAAGCGTTAATAAAAAAATTAGCAATACACGATGAATACAATCAATATCGTAAAATTACGCAAAGTTCGGTTTCTGAAACGACTGATAACCGAAATTTTTTTTTTCGCCGCGCCGGTTGCAATATGTCACGTTGTGCTGCGTGATCCTTGGATTATAATCTATCGTACATAGAGGTGTTATACCTTTTTTTTTCTTACCGGCTGTATTCGGCGGCGAACACGAAAAAACAACGGCCGGAAATAACGCCCATTGCGCTCGCCGGCTGACCGGTCTCTCGTTTTCCGGCGCAATTCGTTGCACGTATACACGCACAACGTGTTTCTCCTGCCCTACACACGTGAAACGATCCGCATGTACGTATGTATTTTTAGCCGGAATAGAAGCACGAAATTAAATCCGAGAAACGCGTACGCACACACTGCAGTCATCCTGCGTACGTTCACACGCCCCCCTGTTGCTCTGGTTGCATATGCGCTATGATATCGCAATATAATATGATCCAACCATCAGACCGATGTCTCTCTGCGACTCTCGCCATAAGCAGAGACGGTTTTTGGTTCGCGCCTATATGCGCGAACAGAACTTTCGCAAAATATAATATAAGTCATACAGTCTGCCCAATTCATTATTTATGTGTCATCCTTGACGAATGATCTCGTTCAATACGCAAATTAAAATCGACGCGCCGCGAAATGCGCGGTACCGAATTGATGAACTGCCAACGCATTTCGATGAAGCCCGATGCGATGAAAGACGCGAGATATTTGCGTGTTTAGACACGTATCATAATATTCCTCGAATTTAATTTCGCGCTTCTGTTCCGGCCAAAAATATACATGCAGACGTTTTACGTGTAGGCAGGAGAAACACGTCGTGTATTGTAGCATAATAAAATCATCTTGCATATTTCGTGTATTACAACGAAATTAGACGCGCACGTGAAATAAGAACGGCAGACATTTTTAATCGTGTATGCGCTGGAAATATCATAGTTCGAAATTGCAGTATTCTGACGTACATCGATATGCGCAAACCGTATATATATAGAACTGTAGAACATTTTGAGAAGATGCTGGAAATGGGCACGCGAGTGCGTCTCTCTTTGCTTGCGTAAAGGAAATCAAATATCCTGCTTGATAATTACAAGCCACGTGCTGTAAGAAATGAACGTGTCGCCGTAGACGGGCGAGGAAATTAGCTAGGAATTTACATACTGCTCATTCTCAAGAGCAACGCGATTATACGAAAGGCTTTCGAGTGTCAAGGAGATACGTGCAATCCATTAAAGTAACATGAGAAGAACTACATATATTAAAACGAGACGAAAGCGAGGCAAAATTCTCCGTATAATTTAAGTTAGAAAGAAAAGTAAAGATTTATATCGTACAAATAAAAATCGATTACTATATAACTTAAATAACGATATTAACACAAGAGAATCAATTCTGTTCATTTTAACAAAAAATTTCTAAAGAATTGTCAAAGTGTCTGAGATTGTCAAATTAAAGCGCAAATAATTGAGATTGAGAATTTGTTTTAGATCAAATAAGAAGTGTTTCAATGTGCTGAAATAGAAATGTCGATATCTTATACAGGCGCATTGCTATGTTTTAGTATTCATTAAATCATGTCAACTCGAAAATCGAGAATAGAGTCGTAAATCAAAAAATATAAATAGCGCAAAATTCCGCAATAATTAAATAACTGTTTCAGAACGTGAAGACGCTAAACTTAACGACTGGCTGGCAAGATTGTTTGACGTCGTATAGAGAGAATCGAAGTGGCGTATTAATGGCAGAGATAGAATTCCGCATAATGCAACGAGAGAGATATCGTCATAGCTCGGTAGTGGTTTAAAAGCTGCGGATGAAGCGTCCTCCGCATATTACCCAACTTAAAAAGCAATTATGGCTGACGAACCGTATGGGAGATTTTTTCGTACCGCGCGCGCATTATATAGGTCTTTT